GAATACTAATAAGGAGTGTTTTATCAGATATAAAGGTCCATGCATGTGACCAAATAGCCTCATTCTATTGGCCTATTAGTTCATTAATTATGTATGAGTTTTTTAACAAAAACGTAGTCGTTGTATCTTTTATACTGAAAATCTATTACACGTAACAAACACCGCATTAATCAATTTATAATCATTTTGATAATATAAAATAGCATTACAAAGGTAGTTAAAACGTATTAACTATTACATAAATATGAAGATAACGTTGAGAGGTAAATTAAGAGCTCAGTTATAACTGTGTTTTATCAGAATTCAGGACCTCTTCTTAGTATCAATATTGAATTATTTCTTCGCCATTTTTTTTAACAGTGCCGTCATTATTGAGGTTGCTCCATAAAACATCTTCTCCGTCATTAGTTCAAGGTATTTTACAGATTTATCAGAATGGTACATGGGGAACGATATGTAGTCACTGGTGGTATGACAGTAACACAAACATCGCCTGTAAACAGCTTGGCTACGAGAGTGCAGTTTCGTTTAGGCACTTAGGACGAGGACCTGATCCAATTTGGCTTTCTAATGTATACTGTGATGGTGATGAATCTTCACTAGATAAGTGCCGACACGGAGGATGGGGTAAACCTAGCTGCAGTCACAATAGGGATGTTGGTATCGTGTGTTATACAGGTAAATATGGTCATTATGGACGTCTTGTTGACAGATTGTGCTATTTTTTAACAACAATCCGTGACTATGATGTAAGCGCTACTTCAACCTAAAAGTTATTTATTTTTGTCGAGCTTTCGGCTCACCGAGCCATTATCAAGACGGGATGAAAAACGTTACATTTTACAAAACAACATAAAAACAATGAGCGCGCGCTCTGAGAAGATCTAATAAGCGCGCGCGGTAACTAACTTCTAATTACACAGAGATAATTTTGCGGGATCATCCGCCCCTTGTCCCTATTAAACAAAACGTTCTTCTTCTTTGCAATCTCTATTGCCTCACTCCATCTCCTCTGCGACCAACGGCTTTCTTTGCACAAGATGGATGTTTCCTTCCAGTTAACGTTTTTCATTCCGTCTTGATAATGGCTCGGTGAGCCGAAAGCTCGACAAAAATAAATAACTTTTAGGTTGAAGTAGCGCTTACATCATAATGAATAGACCAACCTACAACCATTTATTTAATCCGTGATTAGTGATTTGTACAAAGTTTCACTAATGGAATACCAGAAAACTGAGAAGCTTTTCTAGGAATAATTATAACCATCACCATGATTATTGTCCCTGATACAAATCTATCATTAAATTCAGGTCCTCCTGTCAAAGTTCGACTGATTGGTGATGTGCCTAATGCTGGTCGAGTACAATTGTTGTACAAAGGTGTCTGGAAATACATGTGTGACTTAAATAGGTATTCTGCCCAAGTCATTTGCCGAATGGCTGGTTATTCTTATGGTACACATATACCCTTTCGTCGCTACGAGGGATCTGGCGATGTATGGCTCTCCGGAAGCTATGCGTGTACTGGCTTTGAATCCTCTATTGAATCATGTCGGAACCTTAACTGGGGAAAAGCGACTTGTTCAGATAACAACGTAGCTGGTGTTGTTTGTAAATCAGGTGAACTTGACTTGTTTTCGTCGACTGAGAACCGAAGTATTAGAATTTATAGGTTTTGGACATCAAAAATCTTGGGAGCACGTCTAACTAATGGCGGGGGTACACTCGTGCATGTTTCTAAGGTTTCTTCTCTCGTGTTTTTCAACTCCCACCGTGTTTGTATCAGAGGACAGAGACACAAGCGGCAGTTTTATAGTTCCTTTATAACATATTTTTGCGCTTATTGATCGAAAACCAAATTTTGCCGGTAAGCCGTGTCTCTGTCCTCTGATATAAACACGGTCGTCAGCCAATCAAAGCGCGCGTTATATATCAATGATTTTATAATCCCGCACTCGAGTTCTATAAACAACACAAGGAAAGAGTTATTAGTTCATATATTATAACCTTTGTCAACCTGTTTTATGTGTGAAAAAAGTGTCGACCAAGCCATAATATACAATGATTGGTCCATGCGCTGATAACGAGCTCAGACTTAACTTGTACTACAACGCTCCATTTTCATTATTTTGACTAACGCGATACATATGTATCTTTTTCAGGATCACCGAATGTCGCATATCGACTTGCGGATGGATCAGTACCTCATGCAGGAAGACTGGAAATGCACTATTATGGGTTATGGAGACCAGTTTACCTTGTTTATGGTCGGCGATCAGACCACGATGTACTTTGTCGTATGATGGGTTACAATCAAGCTATTATTGCCTTCAGAAACGTCCAAGAAAAAAGATACAGCTACGATCTAAGAATGAACTGTAGGGGTTTTGAAAATACAACAAAACAGTGTGAACGAACCTCTTTCAATTCAAATGTGAGTCATGAAACTAAAGAAACTACCTGGATAGTTTGTAAACCACATGCAGGTATTTTACTAGTTTCTCCCTCTACAGAAAACCGATATTTCAAGATATCGGCATTTCAAAACTACATAAATCTATAAAAAGTTTAAGTTTTGAACTGATAAGATCAACCCATATAGGTGTGTTAGAGGCTCTCGAACCCCTTTTAGATCGAAAGAATTTTTATCAGATGAACACCATTTTCCTCTTTCAAGGATCTAGATTTGCT